GATCCATGTGCATCCTCAATGCACAGATTAATAAGAGTCTAGCGGCATGTTAAGTTTTTGCTTTCGTTCATTATATCCAAACCTATGAGAAAGAAAATGGGAGTTGCACACACAGACCAATATGTACAGTGGACTAGCCTCTTGAACATGTATTATTGAAAGGGCAGCTTTATAACCCTTGTCATAACCCTGGCATTTAAAAAAAATATTTTACAATATTTGTCAATAATTCCATGTCTTAATCAGGTCATAGACCTCTGCCTTTTTTTGCCCTGCGGTGGCGTATTTACTTCCGCATTCGTTGCGTTTTGCTGCGGTACAATGCGTTGCACGAGAAACACCGCCAACCAAAAGTTTTTAAATATTTGCAGTGAAGACTCACTGGACGTAAACGTACGTTCGATTGAGAGCAACCACGTAAAATGAGACAGACAATAGACATATGTCAATAATTCGCTGTTAAGAATAAGGAACTGAAATTCATGTATGTCTTTGTGCTTTTACGTAGTTTTGTAGTTGATTACATTTACTGTGCACCTCTCACCAGCATGGACAGGTGATCTTACATGTAGTGTCCTACTCGTGCGGTTCCAAAAGACCCATCCCATACCCCCGCATCCCATACTAGTTGATGGATATGAGGCCACTCTGTCATTGGTGGAACGATTATATATTTGACATGCGTAATGACGGACATGCAGTCACTCTCTCATTGGTGGAACAACTAATTGCCATTCTAAATACAAAAAATGGAAAATGGATGCCGCTCTCTCGTGGGACGATTACTGTCATGCTAAAATCAAAAAAAGTTTACGGACATGCAACCACTCTTTTTGGGGGAGGGTATAGTTCATTGCGATCAACTCCGACCCGGAACCTTCCCATGCTTGACAGAGGATTTTGGAAAAAACCTGTATCACCTATCGTTTGAAAGTCATGTGACTGATTGACGATCTAAAAGATACGACAGAACGCTCATTGAACCGAAATAATATCGTTAAAATTGTTTCCTAATAATAAATTTGTGCACATACCATGCCTGTTGTACAGATTATTATGGGTTCACCACACCACGAAGTGGTGGTGAACCCATATTGCTTTTTCTGATGTTTCTTCTTCTTCTTCTCCTTCTCCTCCTGCCATTTTTTAAATGGATTCAGCTTCTTCATTTTAGGGCCCAAGGTCCTGAAATTTGGTATGGAGGTACAGTGGGCAAATACCCCTAGGCGTTTTTTAAATTATTGTGATACAGGCTTTTATAATGGTTTTATTTGAGTTTTTTGGCTGTGTTATAGCAAATGTATTACTGTGTTAGTGTACCACGTTTGGGCATGAGTCATCACAATGGAATGCAGGGCATCAACCAATAGGCATGCAGCTTTCCTCTATTCTTCTTGCTGATTGGCTGTTGGGATTTAACTTGATTAACACCTGCACAGAGCATTTCCACCTGCACAGAGCATTTCTTGCTGATTGGCTGTTGGGATTTAACTTGATTAACACCTGCACAGAGCATTTCCATACTAACAGTATGTCTGTATTCAAGTGTTTTGGTAGGTATTTCAAGCTTTCCTGCTCCAGCATTGGAATGCGGGGCATGAACGTTTTATTTTTATTTTGAAAATCAACAGTTTGCATTATGCAATTAAAAATCCTAACCAATAAAGTAGGGAATAGCTATCCAACTGTTGTTTTAGTTGTATGTTACTTCATATTATAGTTATATCAATGTAAATCATTGTTTTCCCTTGTGTTTCTCATTCTTTCCCTGCCATGTCGTAAAATGTGGTGAACCCATCGCTGTATTTGCTCCAAAGCAAATATTGGCCTTTCTAGTTTATAACTAAGACTACTTATAACTAAGGGTCAGGGGGGGGGGGGGTCGCCAGCGAGCACGAAATCGTTCGGTGATGAGGCCGATGTGACTCCGGTTGAAACCAACTGAATAATCAAATTACGCCCTCTGACATCTCTTTTGAAACTTTATGTTTCAAAAGCACTTTGATGTGTGCACCATAATCTTAGAATGAGAGTCTTACACCGAAAATTAGTCTAGTATTTGCAGAAAAACAACATTCCATTGGACACGTAATACATGGTATAGATTATTTACATAACAAAATAGAAGCCGTTACAGCAACAGGCTTACTATGGTATTGATTGCTATATCTATGCATTAACTGTTTGCATGGTGTCAGCACAGTACAGTAAAATGCGCAAGAAAGCAAGGCCTGTCCGAAACCCTCTCTCCGGGCCCGACAGCGGCCGGACGAGCGGGCAGCAGCCCCCGCGATCTCCCGCTGCCCACCCGCGGGCCGGCGCTTCTGACATGCGGCTGGAAAGTCCAGGTACTTCTTCAGACACGTACGAAGAAGCCGAGAGAGTGCGCTTCACAGTAAAGGATGAGGATCCGCACATGTACGAAGAAGCCGAGAGAGTGCGCTTTGCAGTGAAGGATGAGGATCCGCACATGTACGAAGAAGCCGAGAGAGTGCGCTTTGCAGCGAAGGATGAGGATCCGCACATGTACGAAGAAGCAGAGAGAGTGCGCTTTAAAGTCAAGGATGAGGATCTGCCACCGTCTTTACGTGATGCGAGGCGGCAGCCGGAAACCAGGGGACCGCCGTCCCGATCACCTGCCGGCCGCCAGCAGGGTGGTTTCAACGGACGTGTCCGCCATGACGAGGGCGGGGGCGCTTCTGACAATGTCCAAGAAGACCACAAGACATCTTCCTACGATGACAAGTACCCTGCAGGTACCCTCAACATGGTTATTATGTTTACCTAAACACGGTAGTGTTTTTGCGCAGTTTCCTCCCCTTTTCTTCTTCTTTTTTGTCGTTGTCTTCTTCTTCTCCAAACAGCTAAAAAAAGTAATATCTTCATAACTACAGACCGGGAACACGTGGAATTTGGTAAGCTGTTAGAACGGAATATAAGGCACTAAAAATTTGGTCATTTTGTGATATATGTAAAAAATGATTTCATTGAGAAAAAATGGGCGGAAAAATTTTAGACCCGCTTTAGAATCCATGGCCGCGGGTCAGCGGTCGGCCGCCACGGTTGTCAAATTTGGGCTCCGATCTCCCCACCTGCTTAAGAGCCCGAACCATGTTCGATCTGACGTAATTCGAACAGAACGGTGTTCGAAATGGGGTCACCCGCGGTCATTTACAGCAAACCTTGGTTTTCCGGCCCCTCTTTACATGGGTACCTATACTAACAGAAAAAAAAAGAGTCCACAAATATAAACCATTTCCTCGACAGTACATGTCTGCAATCATTTTGTAGTGGACATGGAACATGAAACACGAAACTACTGCCGTCATTGTGAGTGACCTTCAAGATTGTAATACTTGTACATACCGGCATAAATGAAAACTCCACATATTCACGCCGTATGACTTGCGTACGCGTCCAATACCCGTTTAAGATTGGAATCATTAAGATCCCAACACATCTCATTGACGGCTCAAAATGACCGAAACGGGTTTGTCAAGAGTCGTGTCTTAGGGATTTTCGAAAACTGACTTGATTATGCATTATGAGCAATTGAGTGCAAAAATGTAAAAAAAAAAAGTTTTGTACCAATATGTTGACAAAAACTATTGTACTAAAAATCATGAATTTAAAAAATCCAGAGACACGATTTTTTTAAATCTTATTCCTAGACGTAGAAATTTTGGTTATATACGTAGCCAATCTTAAACGGTGATTGCCTAAAATAATGACTCGGACTGGCGCTCCGAATCCCGAAAAAAGTCGTCTTTCGAAAAGAGATTTCTAAAAATCAGTTATCCAACGTAAACAACTAACATTAAAACTATCTCAAGACGATCATTTCATTTGATTTTGACGTAATTTACCCTACGTCTTCAATACTATTTGTTTATTTTCAAATGTTTTACCGGTAGTACAAAACAGGCCAAAAGTACGTGTTGTAACCTGGCACTTTTTCGAACGCCCCTATGAATGGAAAATAATAGCTTAGCAACAGGCCACCGTGAAGTTGTAATATTTTGTGGCTTAATACAGTACAGTCCACGTAATAAGCATGAAATCCCACGGAATATATCCCGCGTGATTTTTAGGGATCCACGTTGACTAAGATTTTTATGGACAGACGGTGTAGCAATTGTTTGTTTAGATTGCATGATAATTAAAGTAGCATAAATGGGTAGTGTTTTTAGTCAAACATTTTTAAATTGGAAAATCTGGTGGCTGAATAAGGTTTAGAACGATGACAAAATAATACAAGTCCTTTTTGGTACGAGCATTTTTGTGTCCGACCTTGTGATGTGGACGGCCAGCTATTGCTTTTGATGTGACCCGACCCGCGCTAGCATCCACGTGCCATGTCGCCACTCGAGACGTTCTTTACTTTTCTCCTAGATAGGGGGGTTTTTACGCACGGAGCTGCGGAAGAGGGAATAAATACTATATAAAAGAAGGCGCGAAGCCTGATTAAAACGTTCTTTACGCCCCTGGTCTTTGTTTACGCCGATCAAAAATTAAACTGTTCTGCTGTAAGATTTTGACATATATACCCCCTTTGACGTGTATTATATACCCCCTTGGACCCCGCTTAGTATAGTAAGACGTTTTTATACATAACGTTGTATTATGCTTTCTTTGACCCTCCCCCCCCCCAAAAAAAAGCAAAAAATAATAAAACAATTTTAAAACCTGTATCAATAAAAAAATGAAAAAAATGTCTGGGGGTTTTGGCCACTCACCTTCATGCCAAATTTCATGTTTTTCGGCTCAAAAATGAAGAAATTGAATCCATTTAACAAAATGGCAGGAGGGAGAGGAGAAACATGAGGGAAAACAATACATTACTCCCATACTATAGTATGGCTGAACTCAAGAACGTCCTTGGTGAAATGTAATGAAATTCACTCGGTACACTCTGTGAAACCAGCCTCCGTGAAACCAGCCTCCTCGATGTCACTTGTGAAAACGTTGTTTTGGAATGAAATCGGGATGAGAAAAATACAATGCCGCGTGCAGGGCTGAGGCGGAAAATCGCTTTAATCGTCAGGCGGAGCCGCTGGGCGGAGTATCAAACCTTTGCAGCCCGGTCGGTGGGCGGGTCCCCGCCTGTGCGCTGTGATTGGGCGTCCCGCTGTCTGCCTTGGACTCTCAGCTATGCTGCGTACGTGTCGTTTTTATGAAAACGTGTCTTGGGAACCTCACAGTCCCAGCAGCGTGGCGCAGGAAATGTATCAATTCTTGATCGGCGTAAACAAAGCCCATGGGCAAGCAACGCTTACAGGATACATTTGTAGTTAGCTAGTGGCAGGAAATACTAGTATGTAAATTAAATAAACTTAATGCCTATTCCAATATTAAGAAACATGAACTACGTGTACTAAAATAGAATTCTAACAGAGCTAGTCTATAGTAATACCAAAGATAATCTATTGTGTTTTTTCAAGGAGAGTAATTTTGTGATGCATGAAATATGGCAGTTATTTACAATATGATGTCGCTTTTGTAGTGATTCAGATATGAATTTTCCAACGTACACTGATATCTGAGAAGGACATGAAAGGAGCATATTGAAGATATCTAATTTTGAATGGGGTAATGTAACATTAGATTTTTAAGCTATGGATTGTATCAACTTTTCTCTTTTTATCTTCATGTGTTGGGTATGACATCATACAGTGGGATTCGTCTTCAATATCTTCCTTGCATGTCAAACATAATCACTGATTGGCTGCTGTATTATGGTGACGGCACTTTTGATTTCCAGGTCGTGTGAGCTGATTCTCATTTTAGTTATGCTCGTCGTAAAAAATTGTTTAGAATTGATAATAGATAATTTTCTTAATTTTGGAATAGGTATAAGGTTAATTCAATTTAGTTAATTCCTGACACCAGCCACTAGAAATGTATTTTATAAGCGTTGCTTTAATATGCGTCCAAAATGGTTGGTATTGGCGCTTAGGTTTAGCCAGAGGGTTGGACTCAAGTAACAGCCTTGTCTAATCCCACAGTTCGAACGTTTCGGTAAGACCGTGGCTGGATTTAACACAATTCGTTGTTTTGAAGTACATGTATCGTAAAGTAAGAATTTGCCTCCTATTCCAAGTTTATTTAATTTTAGTAGAAGATTTTTTTTTCGTCAAACCGAGTCAAACGCTTTCTCAAAGTCTACAAAACAGGCATAGAGTTGTGCTTATATACTTAGTATGTTTAGGGTTCCAACTGTGTTGCGTGATCCATTGTTAGTAATATATAAAAGTTGGAGACCATTGAAATGTTAACAAACACATGTGGACATGCGTGTTCAAAGTTAAGACTTTAGATCCAACACCAGAAAGTTCTATCACCTAGTGCTTTCGTCCAGTCATTCTGGTCACATGGTTTCTTTGAATAATGACGTTAACATTGGGTCACTCAAAGGTATCTTGTAGACAAAGTCAGCCCCCGTCGCGATTGAGTGAAGGGGCCCTGATGTAAATAGCCTCTTTCACCCCTCGCAGGAAATGCCGTGACATGCGAAAAAACAATAGTAAATATGTTAATGATGACACAAAATCAACAAGACGTAATAGAAAATGCTTTGATTCCTCTCAGATACCAACGATGGTACAAACATCATCAGATTTTTGACAAGCTGCAAGTTGGCGTTTTGCCGTTCCCTACGGTTTATCACCATCGCCATTGCAGTGTTGGCCTTGTTAGGTGCAGGAACTGGTATCGTCATGTATCTCACTGGTACACTCGGAGGGCCAGCTGAAATCAACATGGTTAGTCTTCTACTTTATTCTGTTATAATTTTAATTTACATCAGTTCAATACATATTACCAACTAAGTTGTACCTTACATAGATTTAAATATATAATTTTTTAAATGCAACAACTCTGCATAAAACACCGTTTTCTATCAGAAAAATGCCTACTCGATCGTATACTGTATAAGCTCTCGATGTCTAGTAATTAATTTTCATTCTATTTTGTACTGTGTTCAATACTCGTTGCCATACATTTTACCATGCACAGTTGTCGTGCAATGGCGTTATTCTTCTATAAGAATATTGTTATGTGGCTGTTATGTGAATCATTCCACAAATGTGCTGAATGTCAATGACAGATAAAAAGGAAGTAGTAATTGGATAATTTGTAAACATTGCACAATGTACCTGTTTTATAGCCCTCTGTGGTAACTGATCGAGACAACTGGACAACTGCTATGCCTGTAACAACCACTGTGACTGCAGCCTACCTACCAGTCACTTTGACAAATACAGCCTTTCTGTCTGCTACTAAACTGCATCGAGCAACCGACATGTTTCCACCATCGAAAGAAACAGCAACAACGCCGATACCTACAGCTCAAGTAAGGAAAGTCTTGGTGATTTTGGTTTTGCACATCCAAAGTTACAACCAAAAGTAGCCCCTTTACATTGTGTTTTGTGTTTTGTTGTTATCAAGGCTATAGATACCTTTATACTGACCACACTTCGTTTACGTCAACAGACCACCAGTCATGATGTTGTGAGAGCAAGAAAACTGCCACCAGTCACAACCACACTGCCACCGGTTACAACCAAACTGCCACCGGTTACAACCACACTGCCAACGGTCACAACCACACTGCCCCCGGCCACAACCACACTGCCACAGGTGAAAACCACAATGCCACAGGTGACAACCACAATGCCACAGGTGACAACTACAATGCCACAGGTCACAGCCACACTGCCACCGGTCACAACCACACTGCCACCGGTCACAACCACACTGCCACCGGTCACAACCACAATGCCAAGGATGACAACCACAATGCCACAGGTGACAACCGCAATGCCACAGGTCACAGCCACACTGTCACAGGTCACAGCCACACTGCCACCGGTCACAGCCACACTGCCACCGGTCACAGCCACACTGCCACCGGTCACAACCACACTGCCACCGGTCACAGCCACACTGCCAAAGATGACAACCACAATGCCACAGGTGACAAACACAATGTCACAGGTTACAACCACAATGCCACAGGTCACAACCACACTGCCACATGTGACACCCACACTGCCACCGATGGCAAAGACACTGCCACAGGTCACAACCACACTGCCACCGGTCACAACCACACTGCCACATGATATGAAAACTACACTGCAGTGTTTAAAGCTGACACCACCAGCAAAAGGATCAATGATTACTGGCTCCAACTCCTACAGAGACGAGGTTTACTTCGGGTGTGACCCAGGGTACAAGCTGGTCGGCCGTTCTAGACTCACCTGCCAGTCTGACGGGACTTGGAGTGGAACGTCTCCGACATGCAGGGGTTGGTAAATTTAAAAAAAATGTTCTAGCTAGCCTAGATGGGAAAAAACGGTATAGCCATCAATCTATTCTGTATATAGAATACCTGAGTGTATCTATTTTTTCCCCAAACATCTTTGGTGTTACATTCGAATGAACGCTTATCTGTTGGTAGAATCAATAGTTATAGAGTTCAAGCTTTGTTCCAACACAAAAACGGAACCATACATTTTCGGTAAATCCTGATAACCTTCCGGAGAGTCAGCGAGTGCATCACATATCTGATAAAGGTTGACGAGATCGACTGAAAATTATGGTGAGTTCCTTTGTTGTGTTGGAACAAAGCTTGAACTCTAAGAGTATTACTTTAGATCTTTTTTAGATTTTTTAGCAATTGTACAAGGTATGCAATTCAGCCCGGTGGCTGCAAATTACTTTCAATAAACCATCTATTATTATTATTATTATTATCTTTGATGTTAGATTTTCTCCATTATTTAAAATCTATGTTTCCGTTGCACAATACCCGACACGTCTCATCAGTGGCAATGCACATGGGTTGGAGCACTTAAAACTAAACTAAAAGCTAATGAATTTAATGTTTTTGAAATGTCTGACAAGGATGGCATTTTGTTTCTTTGTGTAGCTGTACGATGTCCCAAGCTGACAGCCCCAGCAAACGGTACTATGACCTTTTCCAACGGCTTCTCCGGTAAAGAGCTTCGCTTCAGGTGTGACCCGGGATACACACGGGTCGGCCATTCTTTACTCGCCTGCCAGGGTGACGGGACTTGGACTGGAAAGCCGCCAACTTGCAGAGGTATGTAATTACCTGCATGAAAAATGCCAAATATTGTTTTTGGTCTCTCTCTCTCTCTCTCTCTCTGTGTGTGTGTGTGTCTCTCTCTCTCTCTCTCTCTCTCTGTGTGTTCATGTGTGTGTCTGTTTTTTCTGCATGGCCCTAAGGCCAGGATGTCTATAGGTGTTTTTCACTACATGAACCCCTTAACAGCTGACACTTGGTGTTGTTTTCATTGCACAATAAAGAAAGAGCTGTGAATTAGGACACAGTCACCATTGTACACAAGATCTAGACATTTCATGGAGTGCCGAGATCTCTGATTTCTTGTTGTTAAATCATGCTGTAGGTATAAAGCTGTTCTGATGGAATTTAAATTACTAGTGGAAGATCTCAAACAGGTGCATGTTAGTCTTTAAAGGCATCCAGTGCAGTTTTTAGGGCTTGGAAACCGGATTTTTCAAAGTCAATAATTCTAGTCATTTATCTACATACTAAGATGAAACCACACTTTACCAATGTATAGTGACCCACATGGAGCAAAAATACACGAAATGCTGAAAGAAAATGATTATTGGAAGGGCCATACGCTGTTTTCAGGGTACCACCCATGAAATAAAGGACTCATCTTGGGGCTTGTTTCTGCAGTTTTAAATACTTTAAGTATAAAATACTGATTGAAATGTGCTAAGCCGTATGTGTCAATATCAAAGATTGCCTTATTCAGAATTTTTCCCCTTTTGCTGCTCTAAAATCGCATTGGATACCTTTAAAACATGGAGAGAAATTTAGTGCAATAGTAGTCTTTAATGTAACCATTGAAATATATGACTGAAAAAAATAGACATTGTAAGTGTTAAGAGTGGACTTTCACATTGAATTTCACAGTTGGATTTTACCCGCTGTAAAATGTTGGCTTCTTTTTTTTCTCTACCAGCTGCATATTGTTTGAAACCGAATCCTCCAATCCATGGTGATATGGTTGGGTCCTGTTTGTATAAGGGAGTGATGCTCTTCAGATGTGACCATGGGTACAATCTTGTAGGGGCTACAACCATCACATGCCAGGCTGACGGTACATGGAGTGACAGTGTCCCTACATGTAAAGGTACTGGTTTTAATTTTGTGGTTTCAATCTATAGAAATATCGTGTTTATTAACTGGTGTTCATGCTAAACAGATTCCTCCTTTTTAATTCTAAAAAAAATCTTTTCTGTCATGAAATGTCGCTTAATTTTTTGTTTCAGCTGTACAATGCTTTGAACCGAAGCCTCCAATGAATGGTCATATGGGCGGGTCCTGTACATTCCAGGGAGTGTTGCGCTTTAGATGTAACCGTGGGTACAATCTTGTAGGTGCTGCAACCATCACATGCCAGGCTGGCGGTACAAGGAGTGGCAGTATCCCCACATGTAAAGGTATTGTACAATCATACAGTCATGTACACGGCTTTATTTTTTGTGGTTTCAATCTATAGAAAGATTGTGTATCAACTGAATGCAGATGTTCATGCGAATACAGAGTCCTACTTTTGAATTCTAGAAAATCTTATCCACGATAAAATATTAATTTGTGTTTCAGCTGTACAATGCTCAAAACCTACGCCTCCAAAGAATGGTCATATGATCGGCTCCACTTTGTACAAGAGAAAGATGCGCTTCATATGTGCCCGTGGGTACAATCTTGTAGGCGCTAGGTACATCACATGCCAGGCTGACGGTACATGGAGTGGCAGTGTCCCTACATGTAAAGGTAATGATTTTAGGAGTTTTACATACAGCAATGCTGTGTGTCACATGGCCAGCAGGGCTCGAAATTCATTTTTGGGAATGTATGCACTGGTGCACCCAGCCTAAAAAAATTGAGTGCACAAAATATTTTAGGTGCACCATTTAAGATGAATAGATAGAATGTCTGCAAAACTTTAATTATGTTTCATTTCCAGAAAACCACTATAACAATAGTTGTATGATTTTATCTTACACTTAGATGTTAAGAATATGCTGTGCTACTATACTTTTAACATCTTTACATACGTTAAACCTAAGAAAATATTTGGGTGCACTGGTGAACTCAGAGAAAAAAATTGGGTGCACAGCTCCAAATTTAGGTGCACCAACTTAAGGTGCACACTCACCCAGTATTTCGAGCCCTGGCCAGTAACCCAGCATCAGACAGTAGGAACATACTTAGTCTAGTAGCTTGTGTAAAGCATTGGGATCTCACATATCCTTGAAGAAAGATAGAATCATTTGCACTGTGATTGAGTGTGAGTCATTTCACAAGTTTTCTGAGACTATTTAATACATGTAAGGCCATGTTGATTTGATTATATGGATGACATCCGCGCGCGCATGAATTTTCGGCCGTTTCCAAAAAAAAAAGTTTTCAACCATACTGTAAATCGTACAAAACAGTTGCAAAATGAGCAAAAATATACCATAAGTTACAAAAAAAAATTAATAAAAACGATACCAATGTCGTAGAATGCCAAAATCAAACGAAAAAAGACGAAATTGTAAAGAAATGAACTTAAAGACCAGATTATTCGCCAAACCATATTCTGTGCTATTTGCTCAACCCTCATGACCACGTAGATTTCATAATGAAAAGAACTTTTTTTTTGCAAAACTTTTTTTTTATTCGCACGCGCGCATCAGTTTTGGGGCTCCCGGAGGATGTCATCCATATAATCAAATCAACATGGCCTAAGTGTTAACGTTATTTCAATTTTGACTGTCTTAGCTGCGGAATGCAAGATAGGAGAGCCCCCAGTCAATGGCCTGATGAAAAAGAGAAGAAACAGAGGAATTAATTACTTAGAATTCCACTGTAACCAGGGCTACAGGCTTGTAGGTGAAAAAACCATCAGGTGCCAGACAGACGGTACATGGAGCGACAGTGTTCCCACCTGCAAAGGTCAGGATCTTTCATCCATTGAAAAATACCTAGGATATCTTTCTTGCATTCAAGTACTTATACCGTGATCACAGCTATCTTAAAGTTCATTGTCTTGATTCACTTTAACTTGTTTTTACTTTTTTTCAAGTTGTGTGATTGTTTAAAAGTTCAATACATGCTCAAATTCAATTTGATGATATCTTTTGCATGTTGGCATATTGAGGTGTTCGAAATCTAGTATTTTCCAAGGATTATCATAGAGTGGAACTCACTGCAGATGTGCAAAGTTTGGGTGTAACAGGTCATTTGGTGTAATATAGCCAGCTACCACCGCAACATTCCTGTGAAGCTTGTGCCAAAGGGCGGTTACACCGGCTAATATACAGAATGATAAAGAAACAGTTACCAGATGTACTGAAATTCAATAATTATAATCAATACTGATCTCAAGTCATGTGTGGTTGTTTCAGCTATGTGCAGGAAAGGCTACCGACTACTCGCCAAAACCTGCATCGGGATTTCTCTTTTCCGAAAGAAGTACAGTGAAGCCGAGGCAGGCTGTAAGTCTGATGGAGCAAAACTAGCCATGCCCAAGACAAGGGAATTAGACCTCGCTCTGAGACGCCTGATACGAACGGTTGGAAAGAATTCTGACTACTGGATTGGTCTAAAAAGAGAAAACTCCTGGCAATGGGCAGACGGGTATACTTAAAGCACAAGGACTACAAGGTATGTTGATACGACCTGTGTAATGTTGTTTAGGAGAGTTATTGGGGACAACAAGTTAGTACCTCAGACAATAAAGTTTTAGTTGAGAACAAGTCCTATCAAAGAGGTTGATTTTAAACCTCCTTGGTGCAATAAATTACCGAATAATATACAGAATACAAAGAAAACATTTAACCTTCTTGGTTCTATAAATCACAATGTCATCTCTCTCTCTCTCTCTCTCTCTCTCTCTCTCTCTCTCTCTTCTCTCTCCTCCTCTCTCTCTCTCTCTCTCTCTCTCTCTCTCTCTCTCTATATATATATATATATAGCTATATCTATATATAGCTATATCTATATATATCTATATCATATATATATAGAGAGATAGATAGATAGATAGACAGATAGATAAATAGAGAGAGAGAGGGTCACTGGTAAACTATATATAATATTGATATACATATATAATACAAAAATTTTCATGCCATAATTATGGCAAATGCAATGTTGCTTGTTGCTGCTACAGACTTCTTGTTGATTTGTGTATTAAATAAGTAGCTATGATAGTACCTATTGTCAATCACAATGTACATTCTCCACAACCTACATTTTTGAATTTGTGACACATGTTGCCTACTTAACATCGTGGAAAATGTGTTTAAGCCATTTTCAGGTACAATGAGGATAAAGATAAGTTTGTCTTTTTTAGCAAACTAAGCAAACTTCTTTTTTCGGTAGGGATGGAATCCAGGAGAGCCAGAGAGTGCGGCCGCGGCGTGGTTTTCAGGCTCAAAGTGTGTGCTGTACTGGTCCAAGCCAACTGGTAAACCTATGTGGGATGATACTAGATGCCATCATCGTATTGGATACATCTGTCAAGCTCCTTATCAGATATCTCAGAAAAAGGGAAACAATTTTGGTGCTTAATTTTCTTCATGGCTTGGGAGGTGAAACTAGCTGTTGCTGCCACGTGCCTTGCGAACCTGGTGTGTAACAGTAAGGGGTGGTAATACTGACTATACTTTTTCAAATACAGCAAAAAGAATTATACGATTATATCTGGCGAATATAATACATGTATGTGTACATGTACCTGTATTAGGCCATACAATTTTCAGTTTAATGTTTTGCTCAATGGGATGGGTTGGAACAAGTGTGTTCAGTTTAAATCTACCAGTATCAATTTTTTTAGCTTGTGACATATATAACATCAATTCTCATAATTCTTCAAGACGGCCACATAAAGAAACTGTTTTATCAAGAAGGCATTCTCCTGAACATCTTTATATCTGTGTGTGATTTTAGTTTGCACACCTCCAGGACTTTCTTGATAGTAGACCTCTTTAAATTTTCTTTCTATATATTGGTATTTTCAAGTGTACCTTTTTGATTACAACTTAAGATGTTAATTCATAATTCAAAGTTTCTAAACTGTTACATTACAGCCTCTTTAGTATCGTTTTATTACATGTATGTAAATAATAATTACTATGAATTAACATGTTCTCATTTTACTGTTATATTGCAAAATATCATATAGCAGAAATTACAAGTATCTGAATATTCATAAAAAAAATCTTCTAGTCTTCTCCTCCAATGTTCTAAGACTTGTGTTAGTCTTGTTATCAATAGAGGATTGTACAGAAATGATAGTGAACATACTGAGTGTTAAAATAACAGTAACATGGAATAATCAGAGATTCTGTTCCATCATCTTTGTAACTGTTACAAAAAATTAACGATTGTCAAAATGAAAAAAAATGTCAGAATGGAAAATGTTTTGGTAGAAGACACATTATCATGTTATGTAAAATCATTTTTGGTCCAACACAAGAAGAACTCAACTTGCCAAACAGGTCAGTAACCTACAGTTTATTAGTCTGGTTAAAAAAAGTATATACTTGTTGTGAATTGAAAGTTTTCTGTTTAAAGGGGTGTCTGAAAATTCCCAGCTCCCTTCCTAGGGCTAGAACACTTAGATTTGTGGTGTTATGATAAAGAAATTTTTAAATTTATCATAATTATGATAGTGCATTTATAAACCATAATTATGATAGTGCATTTATCAACCATCTACCGACCATTTATCAACCATCTACAAGTGGTAGGAGGATAAAAAATTTAAAAAAATGTATAATATTGGGTTTGATAAGATTAAACAACAAAGGTTGCCTATAATATGAATAATAAAGTTGCTGGCCCTGAAAATGTAGAAGGTGTGGGTTCAAAAAATTCAAAAATTGTTTGATTGACATGAATAGATTGTTTTTTTTTACCATTTTCGCATGCGCGAAAATGGTAACTCAGACGAGTTGGCACGTTGGATGCATGGATGGTTCGACGGTTCGACCCTTCAACGGCCATGCAGACATGCTAAGTCACCGCATGTCGCTAGATGTCGTTGTTGCGACGGCCATGCAGACATGCTGAGTTGCCGCATGTCGCTAGATGTCGTTGTTGCGAGTGCACTTTTTACCATTTATGCCTTGGACGTTTGTATACTTTCCATTATGGTTGCTAATTTCAAAATCATAGTTCTATTAATGTTGCATAACAAAGCTGCTGACAAAACAAACTTAATTTGTCTTGAACAATAACTTGATTTTATTATTTGCCAAAAATGTTGATAAAGACATGTCTATAATCACAGTAATCAAGGATTTAATAAACTGCATAAATTATGTCAATGAGCATTAGCAGTGTGGATTAGTCTAGATGTTCAGATTTCCATTAGCCGGCAGTCCAGAGGGTCACACGCCCGACCAATCAAGGCGCTGCAGGCAAAGCTTATTAAAAGCCTCCTTTTCAGGCGTTCCCGGATCGGTGTTTGTGTGTGTGTGTGTGGTTGGGGGGGGGGGTTATTTCGTGACCAACGTAGATCGCACGCAATAGAAGCTCCGGCCTACATAGCTGTCCGTGGAACTATTGATATTACCTGGGTGACTAACTTTCACCAACATGTCTTTTGTATTTTAGGAAATTAATTAATTAATGAGTGAGTGTTTCATTAACTTAAATAGGTATTGCATTGTTTGGCAAGGTATTTTCCATTGACAATTTTTAATAGATCAGGTTGATCAAATGATATAATGTAAACAATTATATATGATTAGTAAAAGATGACTTTTGAAGTTCTGTTCGAGTATTATTTTAGGGTTGAATCAGGGTCAACGCGAAAAAAAATCATCATCCGGTGATCGACATCATGCCCCCCCGCACACTTCATGTATTCAGTGTTCTAAATACCCGTCTTCAGTCTGCAATTTGCAGATAGATTTTCAGGATTGCAGGATAAAAATTACACAATCTGCAATTTGAAGAATGGAAAAAAAAATCTATGGTCCTCACAACTTCATATTCCCTTTGTTTGACCCGCCCGGCGCCCAAATCCCGCTGCGATTCAAGCCGCGGCGGCTTCTCGAGCCATGCAAATAAACCTAGTCCTGACGTCACAGCCTCCGATTTCCACCGAGCCAGCCCCGAGCGCATGCCGACAGCGAGGGATGTGGCTCAGATTTCCGACGATTTCCTTATTTAGATCATTCGGAAGACTTCGGGTAGCAAACAAAATGGCCGCCATGCACATGATTTTATACTAGTAGCTTCGCTTCTCAACCGAAATGAGGAAGTTTAACCTCATTTGCAGACTTTAGCGACCATGGAGTTGATTTGGGGAAGTGCTGAGACGCGATTTCGCTACGGCATATGGGATTTTGCCGCGGAGGGAGTTACGTACGCCGGCAAAAACTTGCTTCAGCGATCGGCTCCAGAAAATTTATCTTTATGCTGCCGCTCAAGTCTTCGAAGGTGGTTTAACGAAGTTTATATAAATGATAAAGCCACTTTGCGTAGATCGATCTCCGTTTTCTTGCGATGGTATGAAAATTCAAGTACAGTATATTTTCAAAACGTTTGATATTTCTTTGTTCGTTGCCACATGTTGTTTATTTATCTTATTGTCATGTACAGTTACCAGCGTGAGTCTGAGTCGAGCCATTGTTCTTATGTGGCCGTTAGCACATGTTGTTTAAACAGACAGCAACATTGAAGAAAAGAACCGAGTTAACAGACGTCGGCACGTTCCTTGAAGTCAGGTTTCCCGCCGTATTTAAATACGAAATGTGTGGGCCCGCGGCGTTTTGAAAAGACGCGACGCGCTTTGGAAAGACCCCGCGCCGTGGCTCATTCAAATTCGCTACATTTTTTGCTAAGTTTAATGTCTTCACCCACGATTTTTGACCGTCAATATTGACGGTAAGGACTTAAATTTTTACCGTCCGACGGGAAAAAATACCGTCAATTGACGGTAAAACGGGCGCTGGCTAAAGCCCTGGTTGAATGTCACGAGGTTTGTAAACTTAGATGTTGGGGACAAAGCCATAGAAGAGATTTTGAATAAAATTATATATATATATTAACGTTACTTATAATTTAAGTTAAAATGTACTTTTGTGTCTCATTTTTTTATTCTGTTAAAAAGACTCTTAAAAGAGAGAAAACAGGTTATAAACTGTTATATTCTTGATTTTTGTAATGTTTTAAACTTAAAGAGTTGAAATATAGAAGTGCATGTTCTCTCATTATATACAATGTTGATGAGAACTAGAACCATTTATATAACTTAGGTAAATTGAAATGCTAGGATGGGGAAAATGCTAGAATGCATTGCACTACGGTACGTTCCACCACCATATACTCCTCAACCATCCACCAGTTCGTAAAAACTGTAAGCCTGTAAGCGGCGAAAATGGTCAGCTTTTGCAGAAGCACTTGTTTTAAAGGTTACACAGATTGTTCTCTTTGAAATTACATGCTGTGCTGTGAGATCAATAAGTTGTGGAATGTATTAAGTTTTCTTTCATTCAAGAATTAAAATTATTCTGTTTCAAATTGGGCTGTGTTACGGTCTGTGTTGCAGTGTGTTGTATGGCTAACGCTGTGGGAATGACGCCACAATTGTCTAGCGACAGTTTCAGTTTATTGAGATACCCTTTAGCCCATTATGGGCTATTCTAAAACGTTAAACTTTATTCCAACACACTATTTACAGGGATCAAATTTTCAGCGACCACTGTCGCCTTCATCAGGATAATTGCTTACGTCACGTATCAGTAAAGTCTCGTGCGAATAAGGTCACGTGTTTGTAAACCGTAACTCTCGCGAGATCACGTTGTGAAGTGATTGGTCATTAATTATCCTGATGAAGGCGACAGTGGTCGCTGAAAATTTGATCCCTGTAAATAGTGTGTTGGAATAAAGTTTAACGTTTTACTATATGTCTAACTCTTAGAATGACCAAACTTAATTCCAAAGGAAAAGAAGAAAATGCGAAGAATGCGTAGTCATTTGTTCAACCTTCATGACAACGATGTTGTCATCAATGAAGGCAACTTTTGGGGGTCAATTTTTTTTAATTCACTCGCATGAGTTTTTGCTTTAACAGAGGGTGTCATTCATACAATCAAATCAACATGGCCTTATGTAGTATTTGGGTAGGAAGAATGGCGTATAAAAAAGAAACTTATACATGGTAAACAAGAAAAGCACACGGAATACAACATAAAAACCAGACTGACAAAGCTAGTTCAGTTTTAATGTTGTAGCAGTGAACATTCTATTACTGGAAGAAATGTCGCATTCACCAATACTAGAACTTAATACCAATAAAGTTCAGTAATGATTTGAATATAAACATCACTGTACAAAAGAATTGTATATGAAATTAACGTCCTTGATATTACTGCAAGAAATGTCGCATTTACCAATACCACTAGTACTTAATACCAGTAAAGTTCAGTAATGATTTGTATATAAACATAACTGGACACAAGAATTGTAAATGAAATTAACGTCCTTGACTTTTATTGACTTCTATTGTAAAGCCAGAGATTGTGTACAGGGTAAACATTACTCGACTACAATTGGTAAATCCGACTTTTCGTGCACTGTATGTTATTTTTGTTACTGTTATACTGATATTTTTATTATCAACACCGAAGACTTTGATCTCCATCTAAACTACCTACTTAACATACAGAAACCACCTGTCCATTATTTGCAAGATTACATTATATAAAGTTTCTGTACCCAATTCTTCTTTATATATTTCTTTATTCTATTTTTGCTGCTGTTTACTCAGTTGTTTATTAATTTTTTTTTAATTTTTTGCTGCTGTTTACTCTGTTGTTTATTAATTAGGACTACGTACATGTTTTATCTGCTAATAGAGTAAGAAAACAAGACCTTAAAATGATTTTACATGTTTTACTTTATTTGACACACTTTTAAGATGAGAATCAAAGTAGTTCCTTGAAGGCTTATATAGTGCCTGCTATGGCAATTTGGGACTTGATAGGACTTAGTATGTAGTTAGGGGAAACACCATTAATGATGATAAATGCAAGCTAAGGTTTTCTCTCGTTTGTATCTGAAAAATCTTCATTCAATTACATTAGTATTAAATGTCTCATTTCATCAATTTTTAGAAACGTCACAGAGGGAGGTAATGACATTTTTCATTCATGATATATGATAATGATATATGATCAGTCCAAAACATTTTCAACATTTTTGTACTCAAAAGTTTGGTTTGGTTTTCCGCAAGCTACATGTTTTGCTTTTGTATCAAGAATATCTAGAAATAATGATGTAAGTTTTTTTCTTTAGCAACGTGCTAAGAGGGAGGTAACGTTTGTCATGTGTACATTATGTTGTTAGCAATTTTGTCCAGACAAAATATTTGTACATGTATATATTTCTACATGTATTACATGCCATATTTGAAATGGAATCTGTTTTTGAATGGAATAAAGTTCTACATAGTAAACACGTTTTTCTGACATTTACTTAAACCGCTTAATCAACGAAGCTATAGTTATTGGATCTCACCCCAGCAATGGAATCACGTTTTCCTGGGTGCAAGATCAACAATGTCTATTTAAAATCCAAATTTTCTTAAACAGAAGATTTTACTTCACAAAGCTACAATTATTGAATCCCATCCCTGGAATGGTATCACTTTTTCCTACGCTTTACATCATTAGACAACAAATTGTCTTCAGTAAGAGACCAATTCCATCCATATTTCCAGGGTGCAAGATAAACGGCAATGTCTATTTAAAATCCATATTTTCTGTACCACAATATTTTACTTCACAAAGCTGCAATTATTGAATGTCATACCTGCAATTACATCACTTTTTCCTACGCTTAACATCATTAGACAACAAATTGTCTTCAGTAAGAGACCAGTTCCATCGAACCATATACTTTTTGGTGCAAGATAAAAAATGTCTATTGAAAATCAATAATTTTCTGTATTACATATTTTTACTTCACAAAGCTACAATAATTGAATCTCATACCTGCAATGGCATCACTTTTTCCTACGCTTAACATCATTAGACAACAAATTGTCTTCAGCAAGAGATCAATTCCATCCATCCATATTTTCTGTGAGCAATATTTACACGTGTTGATTTTAATATCACAATCTCTGGTAGAGGAACTTTCTACCCCTTATTATACATGTTTTACTTCACAAAGCTACAGTTATTAAATGTCACCCCTGCCATGGCATCACTTTTTCCTACGCTTAACATCATTAGACAACAAATTGTCTTCAGTAAGAGACCAATTCAACATTCATCCATATTTCCTGGGTGCAAGATCAACAATGTCTATTCAAAACCCACATTTTCTATTTTATCTATATTTTCAGGGTGCAAGGTTTTAATTTCTTAACCTCTGAAAGGAAAACTTATGGAAAAGTATCAATGCAGTTGTCTGAGCCAAGCTTTGTGACAGAGAAGTTGTGCTATTTGTAACACAGTTGGATGTAGTGCAGATATAACACGAGTATCTTTGCAAATAAACCTGTGTTTGTGTGTGTGTTTGTGTGTGTTTGTTTGTGTATGTGTGTGTGTGTGTTTGTGTTTGTGTGTGTGTATTTGTTTGTGTGTATGGCTGAGAATTATTTGAATAGCTAGTATCAAAAGCTTGCTCTCTGTGAAGTCGCTCGTGCAACAATTTTGGTAAAGGGCAGAATTTACGCCTTTTCTCAACAGGCAGTAAAATGTAAAACTTTAGCGTGCTAAGGCATTTGTATTATTTATGGGTTAGGCAGTGGGGAGAAGGTTAAAAAAAAGGGTCCTGTGTGAAGGTATGTTGTTGTGATGACCTTCGATCAGATGATATATCTAAACACTCTGACGACGACGACTTGTTCTGTTTGTTGACCTAGCCTTCATTAACTTAGATACATCCATGCCTAGAGTTAGGGACCTTTGAACTTGACGTTTGCTATCAGGCTCAAACCGTTCCAGTGCATGACCTTGAGAAATGGTCATGACCCCTTTTGAAGCCTGTTGACATGACATGTTTGGGTTATTTGAGCTTTCTGGATGTTCAGCTGTGAGTGCAGACTGGTACTTTGTGCTAATCTGATGTCTGTTGGGGTGGGTACGGGAATCATTGTACAGATGCATCCTCTGCTTTCTGAACTTTGCAGTTCTCAATGTTTTGCTATAGTTACCGATCAAACCCATATATCGTGGCTCACTACTACTGCGTGCTACGGGAATTCTTTGAGATCTGATGTTTGTATTACGTCCCTGTGCAGGTATCTGGTAATTCTGTGGGTCTCTCCAGACTTGTGGGGCTGTTTCGTAGGATGGGTGTTTGTCACCCAGTCGGGTTGATGAAGGAACGACCACCTCAGCTGCAGCAGTGTTAAATCTTACAGAGTAGTCATTGTCATCTTGAGGCACACGAACTGCCTGAGGGTATGATAGCGGTCTCCTGCTATGTCTGCAGTTACCAAGCAAACCCATATATTGGTGGCCACTGCTGCCTGTTTCAGGCATTCTGGGTGTTCTGATGTTAGTCCGACGTCCTTGTGCAGGTATCTGGTAATTCTGTGGGTCTCTACAGACTTGTGGGGCTGTATTGTAGGATGGGTGTTTGCAACCCCGCCGAGTTGATGAAAGAATGGCCACCTCAGCTGCGGCAGTGTTAAACCTTACAGAGTAGTCCTTGCCATCTTGATGTTGTGCTCCTGGTCTTGTGTTGTAGTAGTTGAAGTAGCCATCAGGAATCTGACTATAATCATGATCAGTCTGCGACGTGGTTGATGTCGCTGTGTTTTGCTGGTCGTAGTACTCGTCAGGAATTTCACTGTACTGTTGCTCTCCTGACTGCTGTGTAGTCCTGTTAGGTGGTGTACTATTGGCTCCCGCAAGGTGGCCTTGTTGGTCGCCCAGTGAACAACACCACTGTCTTCTGATAATGTACGCTACAAGCAGTTCTACCAGTACCACCCCTATTACAGTTTCCATTATGATGATTGCTACATGTGGGGATCTCTCTTTCACAGTTTCATTTGGACAGGGACTACATGTACTTGTTCTATGATTCAAGGTTAACCTTGTTGTCTTGATCTTAGGCTGTCTAGTGGTCAGTGCCATCTTCTCTCTCGTAAACAATGTACTATTAGGAGTCCATGTGGCATGGGTCTTTGTTGGACACACTGTGCCATCAGGGGTGCTGGACACAGTCCGTGTAGCCTGGATGTTTTCTGCACACACGGCGCCACCAAGAGTGCTGGACAAAGGCACGGTGAAGACATGTTTGTGGGTCTCCTCCTCCCAAGTGTTGACCAAACATGTAACATTAGTCATTTCTTCCTGAGCATATGGCCTGGTCGAATTGCCTTTAGATATGACATCTGAAACAGCTATAGCAACAATTTGGGGATGGCAGGACCCGTCTATACTCATGGGAACAATCTGCAGAGTAGTGTTTTCCCGTAACGCTACCTTTACAGTGGAGACATTCTCCCAAGCTTGTTGGCACAAGTGGGTGATGTTTTGAGCAGGTTTGATGCCTGATTCTGTGTTATTTACTGAAATGAGAATTAATGGTAAGCTGTACTTCGTTTGTGTTTCTCTTCTTAGTTGAAGAAAATCACATTGCTTGTCTGGTTCAACCCTTGGCCGAGCTGCCTGTGTGTGGGTGTCATGTTGCATCTGGACATAATAAAGCTGCTTCAGTTGGTAAACTTCAGTGATACAGAAAAGCACTTCGTCAACCCTTACTGCAACGCTCTGACCATGGTGCTCATAATACTGAAAGTTCAGTCTCCATTTCATTACCAATTGAACAGAATCATCAAGGGCTAGCAGCCTATTCCCACCGAGTGTTATTTTGTCTAGTCTGTGCAGCCCCGCCACAGTTTCCATTGACAAACATTTCAAATCATTCATGCTCAAGTCTAGGTCCATCAGCCATGACAGTGACTTAAACGCCTGTGAAGGAATGGTTTTGATAGAGTTTGATTTCAAGGAAAGTGTGTTTAACTCTTTCAAATTGTGAAACCAAGATGCCTGAACAGTTTGCAAAGAGTTACTGTCCAGTAACAACGTGTGCAGGGAAGTAAGGTTCTGGAAGAATTTTGAATCCATGTTACTAATATAGTTGTGTGACAAAGACAGGTAGTAGAAACGCCGGTATTGAAACCTGATACCAAACCAGTTATGCCTGACATAGGTCAGGTTGTTGAAGTCAAGGCGTAATGACTGCAATAAAGGAAACTCAGCCAAAAGACCCTGTTCCAAATCTGTGATTCCAAACTTAATGAGAGCAAGGTAAACTACGTTTGACTGCTGAGGTGGTCGTAGTTTCTGAACTGACAGTGTCCCAAACGAGAACCCTCGAACCGCTACACGGTAGTTGTTAGGAAGGCATGTTGAGGTTTGCTGGGAGGAGATATTAGTATTTAGATTTAGTACTGACTGCTCGGTACATAATATACAAGCTTCCTCGTGACGGCTAGGGCGGTGCCTGTAATTAGGAATACAGGATGACCAGGATTTTGTGTTCTTGCACCCAGGAAAACATGTCGGGTCTAAACTTGCACCACTCACAAGCATGGAGAAAACAACTATTACATTTAACATCATGCTATAGATATAAAACTATATAATATAACAGCTATGTTATGTAATAAAGGCCTGTGCTGCTGTCTGGTGCAGGGTTGTTACCCTCCAGTCAAGGCTGACAGACAACCAGCCGGCTGGCTCTCCTGAAAAATGAAATAAAAGTTAACATTTTTACCTTGGAATTGAGTACAAAGGCTACAGTTAAAGTTAAACTTCTTCCCACACCAGGGTGGCCTCTATCCCTGGTCCAGTAGCTTTTGTCCACATAGCTGTGCAATTATTACATGTGTGTTATACTCTTTCCCATACTGCATACATATTCCCATACTCTTTCCCAAATGCTAATTATAATCAGAGAAAGCAGTATGTACTACTATACGGCTGGGGATCGAACTCATAACCAATTGTCTGTTCTACAACGAAAATCCGGACTCGGGTCAGTGAATTGTGTTTATAGTCACGTATATAATAAATGTCGTATATTCATCAAATTATATTAGAATGATGATAGACATTATAATTGAGCTTCGTGTCGGCCTTTTTTTAATTTCCAATTCTATGTGTTGCTACTTTGAAAAAAATCCCCAAATGCTATTTTTGAAGACACGTAATTCAAGAGTGCCACCATCTTTCAACAAACCAACACTTCCATCACAGGCCGAGGTTTATGTCTTGTCTTAAATTCAAAACGTTTTTGAGGTGATATAAATTAATTTTTGCTGCGATCAAAATTACCATGTTTTATGCACGCCATGGCGCTTGGAAAGGGGCATGGGAACATTTATATCCGTATAAGGCCACACCAAGTAAATTGTATGGATGACGTCCACGCGCGCATTGCTTTTGGCCTGTTCCTAGAAAAAAACAAGAAATTCCGCTTCCTGTAACTATGACCAAATAGTCACGACAGAGCCGCAAATCGTCAGATTGACGTGAAACCCGTAACGCCGAAAGCCTGTGCCTGGTTGAAAAAATGAAAACAAAAATGAAAAAAAAAATGGCACCGAAAAAAATCCTGTCAATAGTTCCAAAACAGTGCCGTTTTTGGAACTATTAACAGACAGGACGGTTCTGTCAGCAGTGCAATATTTCTTATCTAGGCATCTTGTTTTTTAGGGCCCTTCTTGGGTTTTTTTTTCGCCCTCTCGCATTAGATTTAGGGTCTCCAAAGGACGTCATCCATAAAATTTACTTGGTGTGGCCTAAACAAGAATTACGATCTTCAATTTCTTACATGTTAAATATCCACTAAAAAAACGGTTGATATGCACTATCCAAAATCAGTTTATATTTGTAAAAATGTTTTGTTTTTGTTAGGAGGTGCTCATGTAAAAAAAAGTTGCGAGTTTGCTACAATTGACCGCGGGTGACCCAAAATAGAACAAACGTTCGGTTGGAATTACGTCAGATAAAATATGATTCCGTTTTGTAGGAAGATTTGGAGATTCGGGCCCAAATTTGACTACCGTGAGTCTGGCATCCAGGCTAGGACGAAATGTTAAGCAACGGAATGAAGGCCCGGTAAAACTTTGCAAGGAGTAAATAGCAAAGTTCTTTCTATCACAACCATTCATTTTTTCAAGCCAACGTTTCGATGACCTTCCGTTATCTTCATCAGGGCAATACTGACTGGTTTACTGTGCACTGACACTAGATATTGCTTGGTGCATAGTGCACTCAGTGCACTCAGCTATTCAGTCGTTTACCAACCTGATGAAATTATTTACGTTTGCAAGGAGTAGTCTGTAAAACCACCACTTGGACTGAGAAGCGAATCTTACCGGATTTTCGTCGTGTAAATTTTGTAGCTATAGATCCTAAAAATTAGCTCAAGCTACCTAGTCTACTAAAAATGCTAAGTATTGCTTGTTTGAAATATTGCATTCTGTGGTTTAAATTTACGCTGGCTTAAATATCCCTGTTGTTTAGCAGCACTTCTTTTTGCTTGATTCATTTTTACCTCCCGCACTAGTTTTGAGATCTCAGCAGGATATCATTAAAAGAATAGTACAAAGATCAAACAATCCAATTTTGAGGAGGAATTTGTCCGATTTCATATCTTTTATGTAAAAGTGTGCGACTTAATTGTCTGTTTGCTATATGTGGTTGTTGTGATGTCGTGGTGTATATAAAAGCAGATAGAAAACTGATTTGTAAGTTTAAAATTGTTATATACTGGAAATCGTAATGTTTTGTCAACGCTAACTTATGGAGGAAGCTGAGTTTTCTTTTGTAATAAAATAAGGCCATACCAATTTTATTTTTTTTCTGGAATTGGCAAATTTGATAACATTTAAGAAAGTTACCAGGAAAAAAATGAGTAGGGCGTGTTTTCCAAAAAGCGGGCGTCTTAACTTCAATGTGAGTAGAAAATAAACCTTATTTAATTTTGCTGTTTTATGAAGCGATGATTAAAATCAAGACTTTATTATTTATCACATTTATTTAGTACGTATTTTTATTCTAAGGGAAAAACGAGATAACTTAAAAAGGTTGTGATAAGTAGTTTTTGAAAGGTTATGTCAATTTTTTTACCACATACAATCTTTATTTGGAAAAAATATGGAAAAAATGAGATAAGAACATGTTATCTCATTTTTTTTCCATATAGAGTTTGTATGTAGAGTTCTGATATGGAAAAAAAGGGGATAACTATCAGAGAAAGAATTATCACGACTTTTTTCAATTATCACGTTTTCCAGTGAAGATAAATTCACGTACTAAATAAATGAGATAAAAAGCTATGTCTTAGAATCAAGCTCCCTTTTCTGGCCTTCCCGGAGCGGTGTGCGTTTTCCTCTTTTATATATTCCAACATGTCATCACAAGACATGGTGACGGCACACTCAAGGTTTTTTCAACTTATATTAATACCGCTACCAACACAGGGGACAATACAATATTCATTTTCACCTGAGCGAAGTGAGGAAAGTCGTGTCAGGTGCCTTTAAGGGCACAAGATCGGTGGCATGTCAGGACTCAAACCTCTTGGTTCCGAGTCGAGCACTCTGCCGCTACGGCACGACCCCAGTATTTTTAGATGGGGGGTTCTGATCGCACGTAGATCGCATACGTTAGAGGGTAGCAGAACACGGTTTTCGCCCTATGGGGATTTCTATGGTTAAGGACTGCAAAGTGGCCCACTTCAACGCGGAAAAAATTATAATAGGGTGCACTTTAGAAGTACAAAAAAAAGAATATGTTTGAGATGAGGGTATAACCTACAAAATATCTAAAAACAAAAAAATCCTGTCGGCGTATTGTCTTGTGACGCTCTCTTTGAAATCTACCTCTACCTGGGTCAAGTAGACTGCAGCCGGATCACTCGGAAGGCCAGTTGCGTAATCTGGCGTATTTATACACGAACGGGAAAAACTACACAATCCAAATCAGTCTGACAGCCGACATGGTTCGGTACCTCACACTGCATTTGACATTTGGCTGCCTCTAGCACAAAACCTGCTACCCAGTCTTCAAGACGTTTGTACGCACTCTTTTCTATACCCGCGTCATCGACCCGGGGGTCGCCCATTAATACTGTGTTCTGCTACCTTTTAGAACTCTGGCCGCCTTAAAGTTTCCTTGTTCCGGGAAAGACGCACCAGGGAAGGCAGCTTGAGTTGTAAGCTTGTGCGATTTACCTGCGATCAGAAACCTACCCCTCCCCCCGAAGAAAAACGCCAACCAATCCCGGAACGGTAGGTCAAAATATGGTGCCGAGTCTCTGGCAGTCTATATGTAGTTTTAGGATAGCACTTTGTGGGGTCGAGTGCCCGAAGTAAGGGGTCCCGGGTTTGCGTCCTGGCATGCCACCGATCTTTTGCCCTTGGGAAAGGCACTTTACACGACTTTCTTCACTTAACTCAAGTGAAAATGAGCATTGTCCTGTATCTGCCTCTGCGTTGGTGGCGGTACAAAATTAGTTGACAAAACTTGAGTGTGTCGTCACCACGAAATGTTTGAATAAAACGAACTCCAGGCTAAGGAAAATTGACGGAAGTGTATATCAAGGCGTTGGACCGACTGAAATCTGGCAATTAGCAGTCTAGGCCAGGTTGATTGTATGGATTGTTTGTTTGTTTTTATGGTTGACATCCCTGTTGGAACCCCAAAACTGATGTGAGCGTGTGAATTCAAAACGAAGAAAAAAGTTTAGCAAAAACGTCTCCTTCATTTTAAAATCCAGGTGGTCATAAAGGTAAAACAAACTTTTATTTGCATGGTGAATAGTAGACTCTTCATTTTAATTTCTTCACATTTTCTTCTTGTCCTTTGGGATGGATTTTGGCATTTCGGAACACAAGTATCGTTTTTGAATATTGCTTTTTTTTTAATTCACGGAAAATATTTGCTCCTTTGCAGCTACTTTGTACGGTTAACAGTATGTTTAAAAACATTTGTTTTGGAAACGAACAAAATTCATGTTCGCGTGGATGTCATCCATATTATCAAACTAACATAGCATTATTAAAGAATCATACGGAGTGAGAAGGATTCTTACCGGCTCCGGGGGGCGTCCACCACGGCGTCTGGTGACAGCGGTGCCGCGCCTCGACAAGAACAGCTCGGAAAACGGCCAGCAGTCGCTGGAAATAACAATGATACGAAAATTAGTCGCATGCCCGTAGCCAGGATTTTGAACGGGGGGTTCTTCCCACTGCTTGAGGGGACCAGTGGAGGCGCGAGGTTTCCAGGGGAAAATCAATGCGCGCGCGGATGTCATCCACAGAATTGAGTCAGTCGGTGTGGCCTAAAAGGATAACCAGAAAATTCATGTTTTGATGTCCTAAAATTTCATTGGATCGCTTTAAAGGTGAAAATCACAGGTTTTTTTTATTATTTATTGAAAAAACAAAGTACAAGACATAGTAAAAGACACAAAGGTGGAAACTCTAGCCGAAGCTAATATTAATCAAACCCCTGACATAGAATACAAATTACAGGTATAACAATGACAAAACAACAAATGAGCGTTCGTATATACAAGACTAACGGCAATATAAATCATTAGGCAACTGTATATCGTTGGGTATATCACAGTTCTTCCGATGTCCCATATATAAATGTTGACTTACCGGTGAATAAGGCGGCGGCGGTTGTTTGATCTCATTTCTGCATCTTATGTTCGTCAGATAGAAAGAAAAGCTGCTGTCTCCTCACCCTGTCGTTCCTGGTCTGTTCTTCACGACGTGCCGCAGTTCTTTCAACCCTCTCAGTCTGTAGCCATGGCAACGCTACTGACGTCAGTCCTATGTTGTGCTGATATTATTAGCTGATACATGTATGTAGTGATGATATGCTAAGTTTTAAATGGAATTCTTTACAGCCTAATAACGCCGCACAAAGTGGTTTGTCAAATTAAACTGCTCTAGATCTGTGTACAGTTCGTTGTGATTTCCTCTATGAAAAATGGAGCTGTTGTTTCGATTTCTCTCTCTCCCTCCATCTCTCTCCCTCCATCTCTCTCTCTCTCTCTTTCTATATGTGTGTGCCCGTAAAATAAACATATTTTTTTCTATACAATTACATCAAGGGGCTTACATGTATATCCATATAAGCTACCTGACTATTGTAATAGGAAAGACTACGTTAATCTGTTACAGAGTGTGTCTGTGTGTTTGAGTCTTGTCTTTTCTTTCCTAATCCTTTCAATAGTTTGTAAGCCACGAGTTTTTCTTTTTGTGTGTGTAGACATGAACGTATTAAGAAGATTATATTGTTTCTCAAGCCACTGTATGAACCGTGAAAAACATGGTCCACATGGTACCGTCCCAAAGGGTGACCACGGCGGACCTGATGTGACGAACTGTCCGCCTGGACCAAAACAGTGCACGGGAGACAGCCAGAGACAAATGTACATGGAAACCCATCTTCCGAAGCCCCGCGCATACGCAAGACATACGCACGCACGCCCCCTCCCCCATTTACATATTCAAATAATACCCTCGATAACGTTCGATGACGGTGTTCCGGACCGGGCCGTACTTTATGGTACGGCCTGGGCTTCCATGGAATAATTTCGAACACGTTTTGCCCTAATCGCGTGCGCCGCTTTCGAAAATTCAAATAAAGAATTCGGACGTTGGAATTAATTTTGTTGCATTTTTGGGTTTAGGGACAACTGATTGTGGCCCATTTTGTATGGAAAGGTGCGTTTTCTTGGGTGGGTAAGCTCATCAAATACTGGCTCAGACTGCACCACCTGCCTAATGATAGAATTGTTAAAAAAGCCTATGATATCGCTGTAGAACAAGAACAGGACTGGGTAATACATATACAAGATATGCTATGTAGACACGGTTTCCAAAATATTTGGCTAAACCCAACAGTTGACGCCAAGCATTTTGGAAAGGTGTTCAAACAACGACTGCAAGACACGTTTGTTTCTGGCTGGAGGCAAAACATAAGAAATTACAGTAAACTACAAACCTATATTAAATTCAAAACGGACTTCACTTTTGAGAAGTACCTCTCATCAATCCAAAACAAATCTTTTGTTGCTAACATAACCAAACTGCGAATCAGTGCACATTGTTTAGAAATAGAAAAAGGTCGTTATAAGAATGTACCAGCCACTCAGAGACGCTGCCCTACATGTAAACACAATGTTGAAGACGAATTTCACTTCTATTATTTTGTCCCACGTACACTGAAGAAAGGCTGACACTTATGAACATGATCTCACGTAACTCAAACCTTACTTTACCTAGAACAAGCTCAGATACTTTTAATTTACTTATGTCATGTCCTGAACCAATATCCTTATATATAGGCCAATTCATATCTTCCGCTCTTCAGAAAAGAAACCATATCATCTATGACACTTCGAATGAATGTTAATACTGTATCCATGTCCCATATATATTGTATAACTCATAGTACACAATTACAGCGTAGCGTCTAGAGTTAGTCATTTAGAAGTAGATTTTAGTATTGTTATTCTTGTCTATACTTGCCATACATTGTACCTGTTGCAATTGTTGCGCAATAAAGATTGATTACTGTATATGATAGAAATACAATACAGCACGGTGTATTCCTCGTCACCCTCCGTCCCGGCCCTGACTCACGATCGGAGGACTTGCCTCT